AGTTTAAATGTCGTAATCTTTGAATCTAGTTAGAGCTGTACAGAGCCCTACTTTGCCCTTGATAAGTAGGTCTAGGGCCCAGCAGGTGGCATGGTGTTAAGGTGTTAGACTCTCACATGTGTACATCTGTGATTCAAGTCCCAGACCTGGCAGCTTGCTTTTTCACATTCATTCATTCTCTCTCTCTCTCTCTCTCTCCCTCTCCCTCTCCCTCTCCCTCTCTCTCTCTCCCTCCTTCCCTCCCTCGTGAATGTATGTGCCCTATAGCAAATTTTTTTAAAATGAAAGTAATAAATAAAATTTTTTTAAAAATTTAAAAAGAAAAATAGATCTGAAAGGTTTGTGTTTTCCTCCCAAGTACTTCCTGTTTAAACCAAATAAACATATTTAAAAATAGAAGCTATTTTGTGGACCAACAGATGGCGTAATGGTTATGTCGCTGGACTCTCATGTAGTTGACTGAGGTTCAAGTCCCAGACTCAGCGGCTCTAAACTCATGCTGGGCACGTATACGTCCATGCCCAAAATCCTGAGAGGAGACCTGGAGGAGAAGGGATTGCGGGATGGTAATCCTCCCTGGGGGGTGATTTCTCGCTTTCTATCCCTCTTTATCTCTGTCTCTCCAGTGAGTGCATGCGCCCTACAGCAAAAATCTCTCTAAAAAAATAGAATCCATTTTAAATTATATATTAGACAGTAGATATAGTTACATACATATGTATCATACATATATATATATATAATTCATAATTAGGTATATTAATCAAAATATATCTACCCAAACAGGTAAAATCACTGAGATCAAGTTACTAGGCTCTGCTTAAAATGGATTCTTTAGAACCCTAATTTGTCCTCTAATTTCCCATTTAATAAGTCTGTGCTTCAACTGACAATAATTGTAGAATTCATTAGCAGTTTTCCCAACATTTTCACCAATCATTGTCATATGCATAGATTAATTTATTCAACAATGGTTTAAGAGCCTAGCATAAACCAAGCCCTGATGGCAAGGAATGCCAAAATTATGACCTCCATCAATTATCAGTCAAATTTGAGTAAAGATTTTTAACTGCTCCCATGTTTATGTTCTGCTATGATCTCTCCAGCCCTTCCACAAACATGCATCCATCTTGCTTCTAGCCTTGGGATTAAAATCAACACTACTGAGATGACTTATTCTTTAACAGAGAATAAGTCTGTTATTCATTTGGAGAGGTAAAAAGAGTTCCTCTATTCTTAAAAAAAATTGTAGTTATTCAATAGTGTTTACACGGTGTGCATTCTAGCAGTATCTTGTGTACATAGCTTTACTAAAACATTTCACTCAACATGCTCCCAATGCCAGAATAGTTTTAGAAGATTCTCGAGAGAACATGGCTGCTTTCTCTAGTCATCTGACCACCTCATTTTCTTTGCCTCTGTATCTATTAGCAAAGCTGACTGAATAAGCACAGAATAATAAAGAAAAGGAAATGGGGACCAGCAGATGGTTGCATCGTTGGGCTCCCACTGTGGACTGTGATTTGAGTTCCAACCCGGCAGCTTAAAATCCATGCCAGGCACATGCATGTGCATGCCCAAGATTCCAAGAGGAGAATGGAGGAGAAGGGATCATAGTGTGGCCATCCCCCATGGGGGGTGATTTCTCGCTTTCTGTCTCTGTCTCTCTAGCAAGTGCACATGTCCTACAGCAAAAATCTCTCTGTCAAAAGAAAAAAGAAAGAAAGGAAGGAAAGGAAAGGAAACAGTGGAGATGTTTTCACATGCCTAAAAGGGTTATTTTTAACCTGCAGTGAAAACTCAGTAAATTTTGCAGTGTGCGTGTGCTATGGTTTACATGTTCCCCCAAACTTCAGATGTTAAGACTTGGTTGTGACAGGATTAAGAAGGTAAAAACTTAATCTGATTATGGTGTTGAAAAGGTGGAGCCTTTTAGGAGATGAGGATTAAGGACATCAGAACGGGGCCCCTGAGATTGACTCTTGGTGGGTTTATAAGGCAAGGGAATGAGATCAGAACAGAGACACATATGGACACATGGTCTGTTCTGTTCTTGCTCTCATGATATGACACCTCAGGAGTCTGCAAGACCCCCACCAGATGTGGTCTCTGGACCCTAGACCTCCAAACCGTGAACTGAATAAACCTCTATTTTTATAAATCACTCAGTTTAGGTATTTTGTACTTTTCACAATGAGACAGACTAGAACAGCACCCAAAGTTACTCCAATACCTTCTCTAGTTACAGAAGGTTCTAGAGAGATTCATGTGCTACATCTCGGTTTTTTTAGACCAGAAACGTAACCTTGAAACTTCAAAAGCACTTGAGTTATAAGCAAAGAATTCACGTACTCATTCTTTCTTGTTCTTTCTCGCTCTCATAAATACTTGCTGCCAAAGTATTAGCAAGGCCATCCACCATCAACCACCACCACCACCACCACCACCACAACAACAACAACAACAACAAAAAACAGTGAAAAGAGAAACAGAACCATCTGTATACTGAAATATTCTTTCAAAGTAACTCCTGGCTGCCTTTCATTTTATTTCTGGCTTTTGAACCTTAAAGTCAGTCATTTTGAAAACATTGAAGAAATATAAAATGATATCAACATACTTATGGAAGTCAGCAGGGCAGTATGGCCCAAATTTATTCACGTCAAATCAACCTAGCCAATTTCCAATTTTTTGGCTAGTACAGAATCCCAGTTAGTTTTGACCAAGAAGAAATATTCCACAGCTCTCCAATAAAGATGCCATGGATAAATGTTCAAGTATTCTGACATGTCATTAACACAAACATTTTGAAAACTGAGGCTGACCATATAGTCTGACTTTAAATAATTTTAAAAAATCACATCATTAAAAAGAATAGAGCCAGTTCCAGGCTTGGTGGTTAAGGAAGCTAGATCTCATGTAGTTGACTGTGACTCCAAAGTTTGAAAAACATGACCAGTGTGTATGTGTGCACACCCAAAATCCTGAAAGGAGGGAGAATGGAGAAGGAATTGCAGCATGATCACACCCCATTATGGGGGAATGCTATCTCCTTCCTCTCTCTGTCTCTCTCTGCTGAACACATGTGATAGCTGGAGATAATTTAAAAAAAGAAATTAACAGTATTCAGTTTTTCGATAACAGGAATATAGCCAATAAATGACCCTCCCAACAAACTAACTCTGAAATTAAGATGGTCTGAAAGGGATTACTGGGGACACAGAGGCTTTCCGGATAGCAAGGAAGGGACTTTTAGAGGCTCACTGCCATTCAGCAATGATACATTGGAACAATAAAATATAGAGACAATCTTTTCTACTATTACTCAAAGAAATTTAGTTTTAAAGTACAGTTCAGTTGAGGGCATTTTGATCCCGAAATGAAGAAAAGTGGATTCATGTTCATTCATCTCTTCGGGCAATTTAATTTCCTGTTTTCTTTTCCCTTATGTTAAGAAAAAAGTCTAATATGTAGTTATGTGGTAATGTTTATAAAAGCAATGTACTCTGAGTGTTTCTGAAGCTAATAGAAAATAAATTAACTGTGGGATAGCAGGTAGCATGGAGGTTAAGGCAGCTGGACCCCACATGGCTGACTGTGCAATTTGAGTCCCAGATCTAGCAGCTTTAAAATCACACAGAGGGACCAGCAGATGGAGTAATGATTACATCACTGGATTCCCACACGGTCAACCACAGTTTGAGTCCCAGACCCAGTGGCTTCAAACGCATTCTGGGCACCTGTGTATGTATACCCAAAATCCCAAGAGGAGAATAGAGGAGAGGGGATTGCAGCGTGGCCAACTGCCCTAGTGGGTGGTTTCTGACTTTCTGTCTCTCTGTCTCTCTGTGTGTCACTCTGGTGAGTGCACGTGCCCTTATAGCAAAAAAAACTCTCTCTTAAAAAATAAAAAAGCACAGGGCACATATGCGTGTGTGCCCAAAATCCTTAGAGGAGAATGGAGGAGAAGAGATGTAGCATGGTCATCCTCTCTGGGGGATGATTTCTCTCTCTCTTTTGCATGCACATGCATGTGCATGCATAAGCATACACACCCTATAGCAAAAAAATAAAAGAAAACAAAAAAGAAAAGAAGTTAACCTAGGGGCCAGACAGTGATGCAGCTGTAATGTAGCTCGACCCACATGGGAAAGGTCGTGGGTCAAGTGCTAGGGCATCCCTGGGCATGCCAGGCATCTGCATGCCTGTGATCTAGGCCTGTTGAGACTAAAGGTAGATCACAGCATGAAAATCCTGTTGGGGATGCCTGTCTCTTCCTCTCTCTCTCTGTCTCTCCCTCTGTCTCTTGGAAGAAACAAATTTTTAAAAAAAGAAAAGAAACTAACCTAAAAACGATATGTGTTAGGCCTTTCTGTGCAAATGCATTTACATAACTCTGTGTGCTAGTGTGGATAAGAGTCATTCCATGATAGTGAGGGAGGGAGTTATTTAACAGAAATATGTACAGAGCAGCCAGTAGACTGGTTGGACCAGTCTGTTGGTCTTTTGCCCCTTCTTCAGCACCAGGAACAATGGTTTTTGGAGAGTACCGCTCTCCTGACAAGAACACTCCTTTATCCCTTGAATTAATTTACCATAATGCTATTAAAGAAAGCTCTCTGCTTTCTCTTCTTCCCATGCAGGAAAAAAAAAAAAAGAAAGAAAGAAAAAAAGCGATCAGGGATTTAAATGAATGTGGCTAAGTATGTCCCATAATTTTGCCTCACTCAGTGGATAATTCAAGTACTGTTTGTGGGAAATGCCTATTATGAAGTTACCAGAGTTTTGCTACTCTGTTTTAGCTTCACCATCTGAAAATTACCAGCCAAATTCCTGTCCACCCATCGCCACCTACAGGGGAAAAAGCAACCTTCACATGGAACCCATGCTTTGCACTACTGAACAGTTTCTGGGAGCAGCATTTTCCAGTCTTTCTAAAATCTCAAGGGAAACTTATTTGAACACGAGCCCCGGAGAATAGGACATTGATTACCCAATACCTTATGCCGAAAAGGCGATCAAGGGAGGAGAGATTGGCGAAGCCACAGTTCATGTGAACTCTTCATCGTGGGCCACTGTGCTGTGGCATTCTAACCAGACAACACTCTGCCAGAGAGAAACAGGTACAAAGTCAAAAGTAGATGAAGTCGTTAAAAAAAAAAGACAACTGCATATTTGCAATTTTCAGCATTAATAGCAAGCGAGATAGATTTACATCATTGTACTTAAAGTATCATCAGAATCTGGGTTTTCAACCTGTTTTATTAGAAATTCCAGATATTGCTATAGTCAGCACATATCTCATTTTTCATGCCTACCGATAATTTCTATAGAAATTGTAGAGAGAGAAATACTATTAGAAAATAGAAATCTTGGGGCTCACAGGTAGTGTGGTGGCTGAGGCATTGGATTCCCAGGTGGTCAACTGTGGTTCAAGTCCCGGACCCAGCAGCTTGAAACTCACGTCAGATGCATGTGCATACATGCCCAAATCCTGAGAGGAGAATGGAGGAGAAGAGATTGCAGTGTGGCCATCCCCCTGGGGGGTGATTTCTCACTTTCTCTCTCTCTGTCTCTCTCCGTCTCTCTGGTAAATGCAAGTGTCCCATAGCAAAAATCTCTCAAAAAATATTAAAAACTCTACTGAGAGTTACTATACATTTGATCAGATATACTCACAAGTTGGATTTGATTTTCTGATTTTTTTTCTTTTTTCTTTTTTTTTTTTTTTTGAGGGGTTTTTGTTTTAGGGGTGCGCTCACCAGAAAGACAGAGACAGAGAGACAGAAAGTAAGAAATCACCCCCCAGGAGGGATGGCCATGCCGCAATCCCTTCTCCTCCATTCTCCTCTCAGGATCTTGGGCACGCACGCACACGCCTGGCGTGAGTTTAAGCCACCAAGTCTGGGACTCAAACCGCAGTCAACTACATGGGAGTTCAGCAACATAGCCATTACACCAACTGCTGGTCCCGATTTTGTGATTTTTTTAAAAATTTTTTTGAAACAGTATTTTTCTCTCTGTAACAGTCCTACTATTGTTCTATACTACTGCAATGAGAAAGAGCCCTACCATGAAAATCTTCATACGAACCTTATTATTTTATTTTTCAGGTTTTTGCCATAGGGTGTGTATGCTTGTTGGAGAGAAACAGAGAGGGAAAGTGAGAAATCACCCCCCAGGTGAGACAGCCACACCACAATCCCTTCTCCTCCACTTTCCTCTAAAGATTTTGAGCATGCATGCACACATGCCCCATGTGACTTTCAAGCTGCCAGGTCTGGGACCTGAACCACAGTTGGCTACGTGAAGGTCTAGCACCTTAACCACTCTTGCCACCAACTGGTCCCAAAAATCTTAATACAAATCCTTAAAATATATATTCTCTGAAAATATAACGATGTTGCGAAGGCCATGACTCATTTTTTTGCATAGAAAAATATGGCATGACTTTCCCAATGACCTAATATGTCAAAGGGTAGGAATAAATTCACATGGCTTGTTACATATTGTCAGATTGGTCTCCTGAAAGATTAAGTCCATTTATCAGGCCACCAGCAGAACGGATATGCCTGATTCCCTTGAAGCCCTACTCATGCCAGATCATTATCATTTTTTTTATTAGTACAGAATGGTAACTTACAGCAGCTTTAATTTGCATTTAATTTCATGCAGGCTCAAGCTCCAGTCAACCCTTATATTGATGTTCAACAGGCAATTCAATGTCTCCAGTTAAACTGGTCTCTCTACCTAACAAGTGCATCAGGGCTCTTAATTTCCATCCCTTAAACTTGTCCTCCACCTCCTATTTGCTCCCCTCTACCCCATGACTCCTGTCTCCTGAAATGGAGCTATCCGCCACCCCAGTGCTCAGACTTCACACATAGGAGTTTTCCCTCTCCTTCCTCTCTGCTTCAATTCTTCAGCAAGTCCTTCTGACTCCATCTTTACCACACAGTCCAAATCCACCTCAGCCTTCACTGCTGGCCCCCAGGCCAAGCCACCATCATCTCTCACCTGGATGCCTGTAACCACCTCCTAACTAGTCTCTCTTGTACCCTTGCCCCCATTGATTCTACTCTATACAACAGTCAAAGTAATTTTTTCTTTTAGAGATTTTTGCCATAGGGCAAATGTGCTCGCCAGAGAGACAGAGACAGAAAGTGAGAAATCACCCCTCAGGGGGCATGGCCAAACCGCCATCTTATCCTCCATTTTCCTCTTGGGATTTTGGGCACATACCCACGTGAGTTTCAAGCTGCCAGGTCCAAGATTTGAACCATGGTCAACCACGTGAGAGTCTAGCACCTTAACCACTATGTCACCTGTTGGTCCCCAGAGTAATTTTTTTTAAACTTGAGTCTGATCATGTTGTTCCTTTGTTCTAAATCCTCCAGTGGCTTCCCATCATTCTTTGAGTGAATCTGAACTGTTTACCCTCAATATGTCCCCTGCCTACCTCTTTCAACTCATGCTGTACCCTTTTCCCCTGCTGCCATTGGTCTCTCCATCCCAGCCCCACTTGCCTTTGTACCATCGCTCAGATGCATCAAGTTGACTCCTCAGGGCCTCTGTACTTACTAGTTTCCTCTGTGTGACAAGTTCTCCCCACAAACCTTCTCATGGCTGGCTCCCATTCATTTTTCATGTTTGACTTCCTGAACTTTCTGAAACACTGTTCCCGTTCCTATCATTTGGAAGCCTATCACCCTCCATTTAATTTTCACTGTAATGCTGAGACTTTCCAATCATCACCATGTGTATTTGTTAACATGTTTTTCACCAGTTTGTTTTAAGTTCCATGAGGGCAGAGACTGGCATCTGCATGGTTCACCATTATATCTTCAGAGCTGAGAATAGTGCCTCGCACACATTAGGAACTTAATAATGCTAAATCTGAGACCAGCAGATGGTGTAGTGGTTATGTTGCTGGACTCCCACATGGCCGACAGTGGTTCGAGTCCCAGATCCAGTGACTTGAAACTCAGGCTAGGTGCATATGCATGCATGCTCAAGATCCCAGGAGGAGACTAGGTGAGAAGGGATTGAGGTATGGCTATCCCCCTGAGGGGGGATTTCTCACTTTCCTTCTCACTGTTTCTCTCTCTCTCCCTCTCTCTCTCTGCCCTAAGGCAAAATCCTCTACAAAAAAAAATAATAAAATAATATTAAATCTTACATAAGACAGAGATTTTCTGGGGCAGGGAGGTGGCGTAGTGGTTGGGGATGCTGGACTCCAACGTCGCCGATGGTGGTTCAAGTCCCAGACCTGGAGGCTTGCTTTCTCGCTTTCCCTCTCTTTCTCTCTTTCATACTCTGTCCCTCTCTGGTCAAATTTAAATAAATTAATTAATAAATAAATAAGAAATGACATATCTATTTTTAAAAAAGAGAGACTTTCCTCAACAACTACATTTATAAGGTATTACTTCCGTATTTAAAATACCAAAGACCATTAGTGAAATAATGCAGACTTGTTTTTTTGTTTTTGTTTTTGTTTTTTTGGACTCCTAGAGCTATAACAATTTTCAGTAAGCCATGAGCCTCATGTGAGTTGTATGTACCAAGAACCTATTCCATTTAAGATACTTTGGGGCTACGGTGATGAATCACCCTCAAAGAACTGAGTCTATAAAGAGAAAGAAATTGACACAATTAACTGGAATCTGAGATAGAAAATGGTAAATGCTCGGACCAGCAATTGGCATAATGGCTATGTCGCTGGACTCTCATGTAGTCAACCGCGGTTCGAGTCCCGGACCTGGTAGCTTAAACTCACGCCAGGCACGTGTGTATGCGTGCCCAAGATCCCAAGAGGAGAATGGAGGAGAAGGGATTGCAGCATGGCCATCCCCCCAGGGGATGATTTCTCGCTTTCTATCTCTCTGTCTCTCTCTGTCTTTCTGGCAAGCACCCTGTATCAAAAACCTCTCAAAAAAAAAAAAAAGAAAAAAAAGAAAGAAAAGAAAAGAAAAGAAAAGAAAAGGGTGAATGCCATAGGGTACTTGGTGCCACAGATAAGAATAATGGCTTTAACATTCTTTCATATCGAATGAGTGTTAAAATTCCTGGAAATTGAGGGCTGGATGGTGGCACAGAGGTAATGTCGCACTCTGTTGAGGCTGACCTACAAGGGAAGGTTCTGGGTTCATGTATGGAGACCCACTTGAACATGCCAGGTGCATGTGCCCATGATTCAGGGCTGGCTGAGACTGGGGGGTGGATTGTAGCATCAAGACTCTATTGGGAGTGGTCTCTTTCTGTCTCTGTCTCTTTACTCATGAAGGAAATCAATTAATAAACTTTAAGAAAAAAAGAATTCCTGAAAACACTCTCTGAAACACTGCTCCCACCTCTGTCATTTGGGAGCATATCACTCCATTGAATTTTACTTATTTTTAATTGTCAAAAGGTGTGTGGCATGCCAGACATAGAGGGAGAGAAAAAAATCATCCCCAGTAGAGTATGGTCATGTCACAATCATTTCTCTTCCACTTCTCCATTCTGTCAGGATTTGGGGCATGCAAGTGCATGCACCCAGCCTATTTTTGAGAGAGATTTTTGCCATAGAGTGCTTGTGCTCACCAGAGAGACAGAGAAAGAGAGACAGAAAGTGAGAAATCACTCCCCAGGGTGGATGGCCATGTCGCAATCCCTTCTCCTCCATTCTCCTTTTGGGATTTTTGGCATGCATGCACACTTGCCTGGTGTGAATTTCAAGCTGCTGGGTCCAGGCCTCAAACTGCAGTCAGCCACATGGGAGTCTAGAGCTTTAATCACTGTACCACCCACTGGCCCTAACATCCAGTATATTTTTCAAGTCACTGGGGCTGGGATTCGAGTGGCCGTGTGGGATCCAGACCTTAACCTCTAGGCTATGGAGCTGGCCCTGTTTCAGTGGTTTATAAGTGTGCCAATGCTATTCTGTTTGAGGATGTTGGGCCATGCCTAGGAAGAGCTATAGTTACCATAATAACTGCCGTACGGAGGAGCTCCACTGCCATTTGGTAAGCAGGAGGCCAACGATGCTAAACGTCCTGCGGTTCCTAGACAGACCTGCACTGTGAAGAACTCCCCACCCAAATGCCAACACGGAAGTGGCTTCA